GTATAAGTCCAAACTTTCCCCCAACCTGCTGTATGGTGATAATGGTCTGTACTGATATCAGTGTTGATATTGGTGTTATCAAGTCCATTTTAACTTGATACTATACATTTTTTTTGGAGTAGAAGATACTTACTCCACAAAATAGGCTAAAATTGGACTATGCTGCTTTTTTATGGCTGACTTGCTGCCAATTAACAACAGTTATTAAAAATATCTGGGTAACTCTTACAAGCAACTGCCCTCACAACTTTTAAGAAGAACTTAAAGACTTGGCTATTTAAACAGGCCTTTGAAAGTGATTAGTAATATCCTTTTAATGTGGATGAGGTCTTTGTTTATGGATGCACTCTGCTACTTTGACTTTTACTTAGCTTTTTAATCTAGTGGAACCACTGCGTTTTAAATGTGTTTTAACTAATGTTTTTACTGGTTACTGTTTAATTTGTTTATTTTGTTCTGTCTTGTTTTCTTTATTAATTTGACATTTATTTTGTATATATTTTTATTGTGTTTCTTTATGTTGTGAGCCACCCCGGATCCTTTTGGGGAGATAGGGTGGGATAGAAATAAAGATAATGTTTCCCTTCTATGCAGACGCACTGTCATTTTAAATATTTAAGAACAAAGACAATCACATTCATCAAATGATATCAAGACCTCAGTTAGAAAGGGTGTGAACTCTTATTTGCAGTTTTGTTTTTATTTCTTTTTTTATGTATGAGCAGCAAGCAAAGTTTTTTATTTCTATTTCAGACTAACTTTAATGTAGTATTACATTCAGAACTGGACAAAATGTGCTAAGTCGTCAGCAGGGTTCATTGAAGGAAGTAACATTCAAACCTTATGTTAATCAGCTAACTATTCTGTTTTTTTTTTTTAAAAAAAAAATAACATTAGACGCTATTTAGAGTTTGAACATAATGCTGAGCTGCAGTTAAAATCAAGATGAAAGTAAAAGATTATTGTTACCATGGCTATGTTAGAGGAGAGAGAACACACAAGTCTGAAGCTCATTCATGTAATTATGATACCATAGCTTAACATCAAAATGCAGTCTGCTGTGAATCTATATTTGTGTGTGTGCGCGTGCGTGCGTATGTGCAAGCTCTGAAAAGCACAGGGAAGGGTTAATACCTCTGTGGTGTTTGTTTTGCTGTCTGTGCCCCTGTTCAGAATATTTCACCTCACTTAATGTCCCTGTAATAACTGGATTTTGAAAAATTTGCCTTGTTGTGGAAACAATGATGAGTGATGAATCTTCAATGGCAACACCTTTTCCCCATGAGAACTTTTTTGGGAGTGAATTTCCTTTCCTTGGGGGAGATTTCTGTCACTTTTTTGTTGCCTCATCCCTGTTCTTAACTATGAGTCATTTGGAAGTCGGATGTTTGTAACTTGGGGACTGCCTGTACATGGGAAAATGCCAGTAAAAACCAAAGAGCACTCTAGCACATCCCAGAATATATCACATGGGCAGGACCTTTCATTCTACTTCTAAAATTGTGATTTATCTACCTATTAATACTAGTCAAGAGTCAGTGGCAGTGTTCTCATGATTAAGAACAGTTGTTCTGATGGTGGAAATTATTATTATTATTATTATTATTATTATTAAACTTTATTTGTACCCCGCTAGCATCTCCCGAAGGACTCGATGCGGCTTACAAAGGCCAAGGCCTCAACACACAATATAACAATACAAAACCTAAAGCAAATTAAAAACAATTAAAGCAATATAAACAACAAGCAATAAACAATACACTAAGACACAATAAAACCCTGGTACACCTTCCCCTGCACCCTGGTGCACCTTCCGTGGGACTTTTTCTCCACTTCTACCCTCTGTGAGCCTAAAAAATTCTTTTTTTCTGAATCAAAGATGTATGTGGGAAAGAGAAACTATTTCCACCCAGCTACATTTATGTAATGGCTTCTGTCACTGAAACTTCAATTTAGCCTCTTGCAGTCAGCTACTAAAACTTTTGCAATGTCTTTCAGCCTGAGGGAATTAACTGCCAGTGATACAGTTTGGGAGCACTTTCATGCAATGCATGTAAACAGGTTTATTGTTGCGTGTAAGATGCGGCATTGAATTTTTGCCATGGTTTATAAGCTGCTCTGAGTCCCCTTTGTGGTGAGAAGGGTGAGGTATAAATATAGTAAATAAATAAAGTCTAAGTTCAAAAGGAAAAAGTTTCAAAGACTGCATGGCACTACAGTATAGGTAAAGCTCTTCAATCTATATTGTCATTGCTGCCTCCCTTTGCACCACCTACATCTCCACTAAGCAGTGGATTGTGCATTGTAGCTATAAAGCACTTAGCACAATGATTCATGCAGAGCTTTCTCAAAGAAGTCCCTATGAACAGAACTGATCACAGATCCTTGTGGAATACATTATGTGGATGACTAAAATGTGAATGACTAATTCTAATTAAATATTTTTAGAAGTGCATATCTATCTATGGGAATCATTCCCAGCATCATTCGGCATGACTTTACACCTGAAGTGATTGAAAAGGGACTAATTCTTAGCTTTTTAACTACTAAGTTAAAGTAGTTAGGGGAGCAATAACAGCTGAAGTCTCTTGCTTTTATCTTTCTCTCAGGAGTCTATCTTTATCTTATTGAAACAGAAGAGCTATTTTGCAATGAGCAATTTTCTAGCTGCTTTTCTGTAATTCTCTCATTTGGAGAGCTTTCTGTCCTACTCTTAGTGCCTTGTGACATATATTGGATTAGTCAGCAGCTTGAGTAAAGGGAGAGGAATTAAATCAATAGGAATTTGAAACAGTAGGATGTGAAGTATAGCTGTTATAGATAAATTGACCTCCCAATAGGTTTCTTGCAAAATGTATACATACATGCTAATAATGTCTTCTATGAGTTCTCCGTTTTTGCCTCAATCAATTGTGTTCCTCATCCCAACTACAAGTCACACTGATCTGGGAAAAAACTTAATAAATTAACGAACTTCCCCAGTTTTTATGATGATTTGTCTTCAGAGTTTGCAGCCCCACCAACCTTACTGTTTTTATATATGTTTATTTATTTATTTACGACATTTCTACCCTGCCTTCTTCACCCCAGAGAGGACTCATGACGGCTTTACACACAGGCAATGATTCGATGCCTTAAAACACAATGTACACTTAAATAAATATTAAAATAAAATTAAAAAGTACATTAAAAACAATTAAAACATTTAAAAGCAATACATTCAGAGTTAAACACGTAATCCACAAGCTTAATACGGGCTGTTCCAATAGTCATTGCATATTGATCCAAGTCTATCTACTGCACAAGTTCCCTAAAGGCTTGGTCATAAAGCTACGTTTTCATTCTCTTGTGGAAGGTTAGGAGGCAGGGGGTTGATCTAACATCCCTGAAGTGATTGAAAAGGGACTAATATCCACAGCTGAGGGGCCACCACTTAGAAGGCCTTGTCCCTCTTCTCTGCCAATTGCACCTGCAAGGGAGGCAGGACTGAGAACAGGACCTCCCCAAATGATCTTAAACTTAAATATTTTCTTTCCATAACTGTTATTGTTTAAAAATAATGAATGTGTTTATTTAGAAAGCATTATGTTGGAAGTCTCTCTCCCATAGCAAACAATATTATTCATACCAGATGAATTAGAGAACTGTCATGAACATAAACAAATATGTTACTTGAGTTTAAAAGGAGGAGAATTAAGATATTCACATTCCACTCCAATGCCAGCAAGGCTGTATTCCTAAAATAAATGGTTCAGCAGTAATGAGATAAACTGCAGCTCTGTTTCGAAAGTTATTCAGATAAGTATTTTCTCAGTATGAGGCTTTTCCCATCACCTTAAGTTTGCTTTTATAGGTTTGCTTCTGCCAGTGAGATTGCTTTTGGAATCCAGTCTTCAGGTTTGTAAGTGATATTGTATTTTTTAACGAATTGGAGGGAAAACACATTTAGTTTAAATGAAACACCATAAACAAATAATTCTAAATGTCTTTATATATATCATGACCAAACTAAGGCTTTTCTCTAAACATCTTACCGCATATGCAGCTTAAGAAGTCATTTTTTTTAGATTTCTTACCTATGTTTGACTGAAAACATGATGCACGCAAACTAAAATGTTTTGTGTAATTCTTAAGCTGCAGGTTTGTTAAAGTAAATTGTTTGTATATTGTTGTGAAATTAACTACTTAATAATTTATTTAAAATTTGGGAGAAAGATAATCAGTGTATTAATATCAATTACACTAAGAACATGCTGAAAATATCTGTATGGTATAAAATAAGAAAATAGACTCAGGATTACTCAATCAAGTATTCATGTTGTTGTTCATTCGTTCAGTCGTCTCCAACCCTTCGTGACCTCATGGACCAGCCCACGCCAGAGCTCCCTGTCGGCCGTTACCACCCCCAGCTCCCTCAAGGTCAGTCCAGTCACTTCAAGGATGCCATCCATCCATCTTGCCCTTGGTCGGCCCCTCTTCCTTTTGCCTTCCACTTTCCCCAGCATAATTGTCTTCTCTAGGCTTTCCTGTCTCCTCATGATGTGGCCAAAGTACTTCAACTTTGTCTCTAGTATCTTTCCCTCCAGTGAGCAGTCGGGCTTTATTTCCTGGAGGATGGACTGGTTGGATCTTCTCGCAGTCCAAGGCACTCTCAGCACTTTCCTCCAACACCACAGCTCAAAAGCATCGATCTTCCTTCGCTCAGCCTTCCCTAAGGTCCAGCTCTCACATCCGTAGGTTACTACAGGGAATACCATGGCTTTGACTTTCTTTTTTAAAAGTTGGCATCGAGATGCTCTCAACTGACAACATTGCAACATTTCTCTAACTTGATTTGTATGTGAGAGGTCAAACATGAGTGGCATGTACTACTATAAGATTCCCAGCAGGTATGCTTAAATAAAAATAGCAGGTCAGAGCATCAATCTTTTTCCAAATATAAATAAGTTAGCTGATAGATTAAAAATACACACATTAAAAGGCAAAACAGATTGACTTACATTAATTAATTCAATATCCCAGATTTTTTTCACAAGGTCAATCGATGTATAGCCATTTATCAGAAACAGTTTGATGTAGTCTCCCAGTTCCAGAGAATCTAGCCATTCTGCTACAGAGGTGGGATTGTAGCCATCATTACCAATCTGTTTCATCTGAAACAGAAAAAAATGCCTATTAACTTGCTGCCTTGGATGATTTTATTATTAGCATTGTACTAGAATAAGAAGCAGTATAAGAATCTCGAAATCTTTTCACTTAATAAGGCGAAAGTCATGGAAACACAACAGGAATCTGAACGCATCATTTGTAGCTTTAAATAAAATTTAACAAAAAACCTGGTAGTGTTTAGCAGTTTGATCGGTTTTATCACTTTTCACAATCCAGTTTGGTATGCCTTATTCAAAAATGACCAGAAGTGCTTTGGATTTTGGAATACCTGGAATTGCATACATATTGCCACCAAACCCCCAGAATAAAGAGGCAACACAACATAAGTGGGTTAACTATGGACAACTTTTATTAATGTTACCTAATTAAACTTCGTAATTTGCAGGTAATTCTAAAGTGTGTAATGAACTTGGTGTAGGTAAAGGTGAGGTAGTCACCATTTCGGCCTACCCCTCAGCTACTTTGTGTGAAAAACACCTGTGTCCCTGGTTGCAATTACCCTGAGCAACCATTAAAGGAAACTTGATGGAGAATTCTGCCCCAAGGATTTATTGAGGTCAGATTCTTCCATTCCTTGGCCATTTCCATTTGCCCTCAACTCTTTATTTACACTGTAGATAAGGGTTTCCATTCCTGGCCTACATCCAAATATGGATGCCTTGGATGCACACCAAAATCAATCCTTTGCTGTTTTACAGTATGCTTATTTAATAGACTGCACCTCCCAATTTGCTCTACCGTGGAAGAGGGTTATCACTCCAACCCCAAGAAAGTAGTCCCATCCTACTTTCTTTCTGCCTCTTCCACAGGGGAGGCAGCAAAGCACTTCCTACTCCCAGCTGCATGGGAGCGGGAAGTCAAATGTCCAAACATGATTTTTTTTGTCTTATATACCTAACACGTATTTCTTTATTTATTTAGAACTTTTATATCTCGTTCTTCTCTATCTCTGTGGAGGGACTCAGAACAACCTGAAGGTAGTTATATAAGTATTTATAATAATTTTGAACATAAAACAAGGTTGATGTACATCGAACTATCAGAAAGCAAAAGTATTACTATCTTAACACAGCCCAGTGAACATTTTTAAAAATTTTATTTGACTGTATTTCCAATTTTGGAACGAAGAATGCTCAACCTGTACTACTTTGCATTAAATGTTGTCCCTGAATATTAATTGATTAAAAGCAACACTAAACGGGACAGCATTTAATGGAAAGTGAGAAAGTAGAAGTCCATCATATTTACTATTTCCTCCCAACAAAAGCAAAGTGGCAAGCTGTGGATATTTAGGATAAAGTAATCAAAAGGACTTGGTAAAAAAAAAACACCTTGCAACAAAAAAAGAGGATTAAACCTTCCCGACAATCTAAATTCAAAGGGTGCTAATTTCTTTTAAAATACTCCATTTACAATAAATACTGTTAAAAAAAACACTAGAACATGTACTTTATACATACTCATATAATATTTCATATAATATTGACTGTGCATTGCAGAAAATAGATTTTGCAATGTTGCATGATTATACATGTTGTCTTGAAGAAAAACTTGAAGAAAAGCTCAATTTTATCAGTTTATCTATGACTATATGAATAGTGGATTTTATTTCCCAGTAAGATTATGATTTTCACATTGTTCTTAAATGTCTGAATTCACTATAGTAATATGTCTATGAACAATACTGAACTGATCCTCACAGCAAAGTATTTGGAGTCAAATTTGCTTAGCAGTTTTTTTTCCTGAAATATCAACAATGAATTACTGGTTTTCTTAAAATTTCAGTGTTCTGCAGAATAATATCAAGATACATTAAAAATCAAAAACTTGAGTAATTCTAGACTTTTAAATGGTTACCAGTGCAATTTCATACATGTTCCTCAGAAGTAATTCTTATTGTGTTCAATGCATATATCCCCAAATATGTGGATTGCAATCCTAGACATTCCAGTTTGTGAGTAATCCCCAGTAAACGTAATATATATTTTTTTTCTGAGTAAACACATATCAGATCACATTGGGTATATTTCCCTTGCAGATGCAAAAAAGGATAAATAACAAAAAAGTAAAGCATTGCAAAAATGGTCCTCCACATGTTTCTGGTTTGAGATTTATATCTGAGATTATTTTGCAGTTAAACAACATCAATAAATTACTTATCTCAGAGATATTCTCATTGAATTAAATTAATCTTATCCCTAAGTAAACTGGCACAGAGCTACAGCCTAAATGCATCTGAGCTGAGCAAGTCATCTCAGGACTCACAAAACCTAAAATAGAGACAATAATACATTAAAAGTTGTTAAAATGTCATTAAAATACCCACATGTTTGAAAATCATTCAAAACACTTCCATTAAAATGCAAAATATAAGAAGTATACCAAAACTTCCTTATTTATAAAGAACCCATTCATCAATGCCCAACAATGACAAAAACAGACACAACAACAAAAACAATTTCAATTCTACATTTGTCATCTACAGGAAAAGGATAGAGGCATTCTAGTCTTCCTACTAAGGGAGTTTCAGAGTTTGGAAACAGTTGCAGAGAAGGTCACTTCCTATGTTTCTTCCAGATGTGTGAGTGGCAGGATGGAGAGAGTGGCTTCCTCTGAAGGTCTCACAACTCAGTAGATTTGCAATAGTTATTGAACTATCCATACAGGTTGGAAGTCCCATAAGCATGATTTAGAGTAGTACTACATTGATAATGTATCCAACCACATTTTATATACTCCAATACGATTATTCTTTCTGGTTTTCTCCAGTAACTTTAGCATATCATAATTTTCACATGATCTCCCATACCAGTAATCCAAAATTTAACACAATGTGATTTGTGTATTTGTTTATTTATATACTCCACCCTAGATCTGAAAAGCTCAGGGCAGTTTACAATAAAATAGAACAGTTTAAAACAGTAAGACTAATGTAAAGCCTTAAAGAATCAAATCAATGTTTGAAAAGTGTTACACAATTCAAAGATATTCAGGATGAAATCAGCCATGATCCCAAAGCTTTAATAAAGAAAAATATTTTTTCTTGGCACCAGAATGGAAACAGTTTTTGTGCCAACGTGTCCTCTGAGAGAAAAGTATGCCATAACTAGGATGCCGCAACAGAAAAAGCCTTCTTGCATATCCCACTCACAGCATATTAGTTTGATGGAAGGAATACAGATGAAGGTCCCTCCAGCAGACCTCAAACTTCAGGCAGGTATATATATAGAGAGAGGTATCCCTTCAAATTTTAGGCTGTCTAGGACTTTAAACATTATTGTTGAATTCAGACCACAAATGTATTTGTACCCAGTGCAATTCTTTTAAAAACAGCACCATATGTTTTCTGTGTGGTGTTCTGGTCAGCTGTCCGTCGTTGTGTTTTGTATGTAGCTACATGCAGTGCTCCATGAAGTCATGCTGGCCATATGACCTTGGAGGGGTCTATGAACAATGCTGGCTCTTTGGCTTAGAAATGGAGATGAGAACCAACGACTAGACTTAATGTCAGGGGAAAAACATGCAGCTAGATGTTTAGCAGTAGCCTAATTCAGAAGTTAACAGTGCAACCCAAAGTTCCAAAGAATTCCTTGTTCTCTGCTTAAACGAAAATAGTTCATGCAATGATTTCTTTGAGATTCCAGAGTTAAGACTATATCAGCTTATTTTACAGTTAACATTCTCAAATGTCATTTCTTTCTACAAGTAAGTTTAGAAACTTGTGTCTTTGCAAGGTTTTGCTTCATCTTTTGTAAGAATACAGTGTTTGTCACCATACTTGAGACTAACTTTGCAACATTTGACAATTGCTTTGAAAACTGGTTGTTTTATTGTTATTTTATTGTATATGAATAATATGTTAGCAATGTATGTTCAGTTAATAAAAAGTATTTATAATTTTCACAGAATTAATTACAATATGTATCTGAAAATTTTCCATTTTTACAAGGAAAGATGAGAAAATGGACATGAAGATAACACCTGAGAAAAGGGACAGAAGGACAGCATCTTTTTGAAACTAATGACACCATAATTTCAGAAGTTAGAATGGTTGAACTAAAAGCCTAACCAGGTTAATTTTATAAAAAGTTTATAACCTAATTAAGTTAAGTGCAATACGAAGAGTTTTCATATTTGTTTCTTCAGACTACAATAGTGTTCTTCAAAACATACAGTGATGTCACCAGAAACAGGTCATCTTAATCATAACTGAATTTTCTTCTTTTCTCAAAATGAATAGGAACTTTTTTGTGTGCAATAATTAAATGACATGATAGAAAATTATATGAAACTGAAATCTTTCATTCTTAAAATGCTCAGGCTTTTATGTCTGCTTGTCTGCCAGAAGGGCCACAATCAAATGAGTCCCTTCGGGGAGATTGGGCAGAATATAAATAAAGTTTATATTATTATTATTATTATTATTATTATTATTATTATTATTATTATCATCATCATCATCATCATCATCATCATCATCATCACCTGAAAATTATAGTAGCAAAGCATGAATTCATGTCTTTTGTAAGCAGATGTGTATGTATCTCTCAAATCAAGGGAAATAAAAATTTTAACAATCAAAACATAGAATTATAGTATCATAGAGCTGAAAGAGACCTCATGGGCCATCCAGTTCAACCCCCTGCCAAGTAGCAGGAAAATCACATTCAAAGCACCCCTGATAGATGGCTATCCAGCCTCTGTTAAAAAGTCTCCAAAGAAGGAGCCTACACCACACTCCTGGGCAGAGAGTTCCACTGCTGAACAGCTCTCAAGGAAGTTCTTCCTCATGTTCAGGTGGAATCTCCTTTCCTGTAGTTTGAAGACATTGTTCCGTGTCCTAGTCCCCAAGGCAGGAGAAAACAAGCTTGCTCCCTCCTCCCTATGACTTCCCCTCACATATTTATACATGGCCCTCATAATGTCTCCTCTCAGCCTTCTTTTCTTCAGGCTAAACATGCCCAGCTCTTCAAGCCACTCCTCA